CATATATATATGTGTGTGTGTGTGTGTGTGTGTGTGTGTGTGTGTATATATATATATGAGGTTGGTGCTACCATTTTGGGTACTGCGGTGCAGGTGAGCATTCTACTATCGTGCTTGCGTTCGTGGTGTAATGACTGGCATTGTCTTGGTATATTTTGATGTGGATCATTCTTACTACGCTCGTTTGCATGGCTGTCTCGGGAATGGTTGGTACTAAATCCATATGCGTTCTGCTTGCGTTCGTGTGTTGCTGTATAGTCTATTGTATATGCTGATGTTGTTCATACCTTTTATGTATACTTTCATGACTGGTTTGTTTATGATTGAGAATGTTTTAGGTTGGCTACGGTAGTTTTCTTGTGCATGGCCATTTTGAGAGGGATTTGTATCCTATCGCTCTACTGTTGTTTATTTAATACTACTATTGTTCTTTTACCCACCAGCCTAGTATTTATCTTTCGGACTTTCGTGTACTGTTTTTTCTCTGCTATGCGCGTCCGTGATATATCTATAGTAGCGTGTACAACCCCTTGTCACACTAACCCAGTTAGTCTACGCGTATGCCTATGACCCACTTCGATTAGGATTCATTAGACATGCTTGTTACACACGTGGCATGCCTATTTGTGCACCCGTGTGTGTGCGATACGTTGCCCTGGTAGTGTGTATTTGTTTCTACTCAGTATACAATCCACCCCATCCTTCCCAAGTCCCCGCTGAGACTACTTGAGGGGGCTGTAGATGGATGATTTAAATTTAAAATTGACGAGTTAAATTTAAAGTTAATAAAAATGTATTAGCTTTGTCATAGCCGCAGCTTTTGGTTATTGCCGAGTTCTGTCAGGCTCGGCACAGTGGCCCAGTGTACAGTAGAGTTATATCTCACATCATTCTCTATTGAGCTAGTTTGCTACCTCGCAAAGTCTGGTCTGCGCAGTGGAGAATATATCAATCATGTCCCAGGCATATCACTTGTGCCAATACCACGGGCGATCCATCTCAACTCTCGCCACACACACGGACAGGCCAAAGAGAAGGAAAACACTTCAAAGAACGAATCCAAAGAGAAGCCCAAGTCTCAGGACTGGCGGAAGAAGTACACCCTGGGCAAACGCCTGGGTGAGGGCACCTTTGGCACAGTATACCTGGCTGTGGATAAAGCCACCAAGGCCAGATACGCAATCAAGATTCTCAAGAAGCGCAAAGATAAGAGGTGTGTTAGGGACGCCTTGCCCTATTTTTAAACACGGTTTGATGAGTTTTTGGATGAGGAACTTAAATGTTATGGTGGTAGTGGCTGGTCTCCTGTTATATGTATATATACAAACAAAGCCGTGTGGATCGCTCTATGCAACAATCTTTGCCGTAGCCTTGTATTGTGTGAGATATTGGACTCACAACATATAGTAGGACATGGTGTGTGTTTGCGATTGTGTTTGTGTGTGTATATTTATGTGTGTGTGTGTGTTTATATATATATATATATATACTATATATTATATATATATACATATATTATATGTGTGTGTGTGTGTGTGT